TATGCAACAATGTGACAGGTATGGGTAATGAAAATTGACTTCCTTAGGGATCTGAACAAGCACATCTACAGTATATTGCCTTTGCTGTGGGTTTCAATCAGAATATTTTTTTTTTAAGTTAGAGCTTTAAACTTTCATGTGCCAACTGGGTTTTATTCTATTTCTGTGAGTTTCATGACAACTGTTAATGTTGTCAGTACATAAATTTGTCTTGTTCTCACTTTTTTGAAGTAATGTTTTGCTGCTGACTCAAGGGAAATGCAACCAGAATGGAACCCCAGCAAAACACGGCTTGCTTTTGGATTCACAGTTTTTATTTGGCAATTTTCTGATTTCTTTTTTGTTTCGTTTTGCCTTTTCAGTCCCTATGTGGTGAAATACTATGGAAGCTACTTCAAGAACACCGACCTGTGGATTGTAATGGAATACTGTGGAGCGGGGTCGGTATCGGACATTATCAGGCTCAGGAACAAGACGGTGAGTTGTTGTGCTTCAGTACGAGGCGTTTACGAAAGAGCTGGTAAAATAATTAGGATGTAATCGGTGGCTAATCTTATTCGTGGTCCTTTGTGGGGGGGAAAAAGTAGACATTAGTGGGGATGCAGCATTGAGCAGTGGTACCTCCTACTTCGCAGGCTCTGGGTTCGAGTGAGGTCTGACCGCCTTCTGCGCGGAGCTTGCCTTGCATGCACTCCACGTGCTTGCTTTTGCTTTCTCCGGGTACTCCAGTCTCCGTCCCGTGACCCGGAAACGTACTGGCTGGTTTAATTGGAGTCTCGTAAGTGTCCTGGCTGGGTTAATTGACGTCTGGGAATTTCCTGGTGGGGTTCATTGGTGTCTTGGAAATTGCCACCCCGTGTACTTGTGTGTGTGTTCCACGATAGGTTCTGGGTTGCTGCTACCTTTAACAGAAGGACGTTTTAGTGGATCGATTAAATTTAGTGTGTGTTCTGCGGGGGTTTATCAGACACTTTGCGCTCATGTCTGACATGTCCCTGATCTGTGCTCACTAGGTTTGTGAGCTTCTGCAGAGAGTCACGTTGTATATACCTTGTAACTTTGTATAGAAAAACGTTTTGACTGTTTAGTTATTATTTTATTGTATTAATGTTGATTGAAGGATGCTAGCCTCATCGCTCAAGAGAAGATCATCACTGGTGAGCATTTTGTGTTCCCAGTTGCTCAGTTTTTAAATGGGTGTGTGTCGTAGTGCAAATGGGTGTTTGCGTCCTTCTCCTAGGAGGTCTTGAAAGCATTGTCACGGTTATTGCAACTGGATCTGTACACAACAGAATGCATGGCCTTTTATTTCAGCTTTCTGATCTGGATAAAGTTTTCAAAAAAACATCTGCTTTCCCTTTTTTTTTCCCCGTCCCTTTTGAAATGGATATTCTTGCTAATCTCTGCCTTGCAATTAATTGTTTCTTAGTACTCGGTTTGAGTTACTCATGTATTTTGTGTTGTGGCTCAGTTTATCAGGACTAGAGCGTTCACTACAACATGAAAGATCCGGAAGGAAAACCGCGGAGCCAGAAGGCATGTGGTAATACATCTAGAAATGAACAGCCAATAATAGCATTTCATTCTTTAAGCTCTTTGGGGCGCTTTAACTTCAGTGGGAAATGCCTGGTTTGTTTTCTGCCAATTTGCAGGTTCTCTGCAGAGCATGAGGGAGTCAAAGTGGGCTGTTCTTTGACTCTTCAAAAAAATGTAGAGAAGCAGGGCAGAATGCAAGACGACAAGCTGGCCGAGCAAGCTCTTCAGTTTCTGAAATCTTTTCGGACATGCAGTGTTCAGTTTCACATGTAGGGTGTTCTCGTCTTTGTCATGGCCCGATACTTAAGTGCCAGCAGTCCTGGGTTTGTGCCCCCTCTTGTGCTCATATGGGGGCAACGTAGGGACGTCGGTGAACCCCAACAGTGTGCTGTTGGACCGGGGGGGGTGAGGAGTATCATGCAAACTCCACATAGAAGGATATCCTGGCCAGGAGTGATCCTAGAGCTGTGTGGCAGCAGTGCTAACTGACACCCCCCCGCTGCCACCCCTTTAGCTTGGGATGTTGAAAAAATGGGCACTGGGTTTTAACTGGGAGACGAGAGCACTGCAGGTTTGTTTTCCAGAGCCTGTCCTGCTGCTCAGTGGACAATGTACAGAATGTTCATCATTTCCTGTTTCTGATTCCTTCCCAATGCCTCTGCACTATCTGGGTTTAAGCTGCATGATTTAGGATCGAATGGGAACCTCCACTCCCTGAAGCCAAAATATCGCACAAACCTTTCTTGTTCTCGGTTCTCCTTTTATTTTCTTACGTTTTGACATTCCCTGTTTGAAATAATATAACAGAGAAGTTTGCTCACTATAATGCAGTGTTAGTTTGAGTAATTGCTGTCACACCACAGTGAAGGGAAGCAGTCAAAAAGCAGGGTTCATGAGGGAAGAGAACTTTTGCAAAATGCACTCGGGAGTTTACAGAAACAAAACTTTCCCTGGCTTACGTAATACTTAAAGGTTAGTTTGTTGGCTGCTCCACTGTGGTTTAGCTCCGAGCTGAATGTTTTTTTTTTTAACCTGTAAATACAAAGCTGATGCTTTGAAAGAAGATTTGAATCTTCTGTTTCTCTTTTAGTTCAGTAGAAACAAGAAGAGATGGAATTTCCTTGTTTTTACCTATAAACCCATCTCTTGATTTTAAAGTTTTTTGCTGTGATGATGAATGCATTTTCATATTTCAGATGATTTTTGCTGATTTTTGTGCAACAATGAAGGCACGTTGCTCATAGCTGAACAGAAGATGCCTACCTTATAGCCTGACCTCCCACTGCAGCTTCCTGCAATATACTGTAATTCCTCAGTGCATATGCCTTCTACTTTTTACACACTGTACTTGTATATTTGATTTTTTTTAACTACAGTAATTAATTTTAATTATAAACTAGCATTATCATTCTTATTTTGTCAAGTGCTCTGTTAGGGCAAGTAGTTTGGGGGAATTTTCAAGATCCTCTGAGACAAGTTGGTAACCTTTACATTTAAAGTAATGGAACATTCGTTCCTGGCTTCTGAATTTTAACCTTAAGAACATTTTCGAGGAGATGGAAGAAGAACAGACAAGGTTTGCATATGTCATTTTGGGGGTGTTCAGTTTTTAATATTGTTATACAGTGCAAAATTGTAAGGTGGCTTTCCTCCGAGGGCCTGCTTTTTTTTACATCTATTACCCTGTGTTCAAGATTATTACTAGAAAAGGTTTAGTCATGTCAGAGCAAGTGTCTGTAAGTCTATGCTCTGCTGTGTCTTTCTCGATAAAGTTACAAATGTTATACCTCCGAGACCCTGTCATTTGGCCATGCTCAAGTGTTGTTAACAGAATGACAAGAGGCCTTAAGTGAATTATTTCCGGATGGTTGAGTGAGATAATTGCAAGTACAGCTATTTACTATTACGATAATTATGTTCCTTAAAAACACTGCCTTCTCAAAAGTCATTTAATAATACCCATTGATTCAATGGGAATTAAGGAGTGAGGCGGTCTGGTGTCTCCGTCAGGGTTGTATTTATCTGTTTTCATGCTCTTATGATTTTGTGTGCAATCTTGCATAATAAGTGTTTTTGTGATCATTCTAAATACATAAAACAATGCAGAGGCAAATAATGGAAGGTTTGCTTTAGCTGTTACTAAAGCATTTTCTGTGTTCTAGGTAATGATAAAGGATGAAAATATGACTTGTCCAACATTACCCTAAACGCAAACTATGCATCAATGCATGGAAGAGCAGAAACATTGCATGCATTAAAACTGGGAATATCCCTCTTTCATTCTCTACAGCAGTGCTGGGTTATTTCATTGCTATTGCTTTGGAAGATTAGAGTACATTGATACTGGTGTCCACATAGAGCAGCTGTGTCAAAATGTTGTCAACATAACAGTGTACATCGGCATTAACATTTAGGTTACAGTAGCGTCAAGCTACGGCTCCTTTTCACAGATTCCAGCGACCCTTTTGTGTTTTTTTCTGTGTGTGTGTGTGGTCTGTGTCATCCTCCAGGCGAGATACAGACCCAGTTGCCCAGAACATGTCCTCCATGTTGGTGCACAAACAGCAGCAGACTAATGTCGCCTCTGGTATCGGGTTTACAAGTCTTCAGCACAGTCAGGACCCAGAAGATGCTTTAAGATTTAGAAGGGCAATATAGGATTTTTAAATTGAGCGAAACTATTGGTTTCATTTCCTAGTTTTGTAGTGAATGCATGCTTGTCAAAACTAGAACATGATTCATCAGTGAAGAAAATGAGAAACTATTTTCCCTACCTATTTGAAAATATAATTTCAGGCTCGTTCTACTTTAGCTTACACTTTAGGGCACTGTAAGTGAAATGAGAGGATACTGTATATTATGAATGTTGTTTGTTTTTTTCATCAACACCACCTAGCTGTTGAATTTCATTAGGTTTCCCGACCTCGTACACATTATGTTTCTAAACCTGATTAAAAGGCTCCTCAGTGCGCTTCTGCTTTTTTAAGATGGACGAAAGCTCGTTAAGTCCCATCGTGCGTAGAGGAACTTTGACAAGTTTCCATATTTGCATTCAACAGAAACAGAAGTGATAAACTGTGAATGTTTTTTTGTAAATGAAATCGATCATAAGATGAGCTTGCAAAATTCAGATCTGGAGATTTTATGACAACAGGGATGGAATTTAGACTACGTTTTTGTTCAGTTTTATTTTTAAAAGGCTGAAATTCTCTTAAAACTAAAAATTTCCCTCCCCATTTCCTAGAAATTTTAACTTAAAATCATTTTCTTGCAGTATTTTGTTCACGAGGGCTGGCATGAGGGTGCTGTGGTTAGCTTTGCAGCCTCACAAAGCTGTGGCCCTGGGGTGCTGTCTGTGTGGAGTCTCCATGTTCTCCCCATGTTCATGTGGGTTTCCTCCCACAGTCCAAAGACTTTCTAGTGGGATAGTTGGCTGCTGGGAAAACTGGCCCGAGTGTGAGCGTGCGTGTGTCTGTGCTTCCGCCTTGCCCCTCCAGGGAGTACCCTGCTTTGCGCCCCCTGCTGGCTGAGATAGGCTCCAGCACCCCCCGCAACCCTTGATTGGATGCAGCGGTTCGAAATTGGATGGATGGATTGTATTCACGAGAGTGCAAAAGCATAACCAGTTTGATTTGGTTCCATTCTTTTTTTTTCTTTTTTTCAGCTGTTATTTTTTTCAGGTTTGCAGATTTCATTGTCCAAGAGAGAATTAGATATATGACACGGTATTGATTACATATATGGAACTGTACAAATTTTAACTGAAATAGCTCATGTGCAGTCTTCTACTTGGAAGTCTTTTGTATTGTTGGACGTTTAGCACATATAATAATGGATTTGGGAGCTGTAAAAAAAGTATTATAAAAGTTCCACATCCACAATTCTTAGGATTTCAAGATTTATATATCTCCTCACTAATGCTTATGGTAGATACATTTCTGGTTTAAACATGGAAATGAGTTGCTGCACTATATAATGAGACACTTGGTAATTTTAAATTAACTCGTAAATTAAAGTCTGAAGACTTTTACAGCTTCTGGCACTGCAGACATGGTAGTTTCACTTGACCTTGCGGAGTCAATGCTAAACAGATTGAAGTGTGTGCTGTAACTGATATACAAGGTACTAATACCCTGAATTAATTTTTATTAAAATGAAAAATCCCTGCCTTCTCCTTCAGATGTAACTTTAAACGTTGTGGTGCTGGTTTTGTGATTGCGCTGGTGAGATGACTTGTAAAGCAGGTTCTATCCAGAGCTTAGTATGGTCCTGAACAAGCAAACCCTTACAAAATCTAGTGGCCAAAAACTCCAAATCAAATTAGACCATAATGTCTTATTTTTCTTTTTTCATCTTAAAGAAAGCAAGGTATTTGGACAGCGAAAGGGGCTGAAAAGAGAGCACTAAATAAATACTTCCATTAGATGCTATTTGTTAAAATGGTATTTTCTGAATGGTATTTTCTATTTTTCTGTATGACTGACTTAAGGTGTTGAGGCGACGTCTTCAGTTTCATTGTTACATAAGTAATAGATTCTCCAGGTCAATTCAGTTAAACCCAGTGATGGCGGAGTCTCCTCTGGTCCCAGCTGCCTGACCTCATCTTCTGTGTGACTTCAAGCAGATCAGTGTATCTCACAGGGCATCCTGAGCTCAGGGAAGTGTGTGTCTTGCAGCCTCCTCAACTGGCAGTACCTGGGTTTTGGGCCACTGCTCAATCTGCCTACCAGATTCCAGCCAGAAACCAGTCTTTCCAACTCCAATCTGTGGAACCGAGGCGTGTGATACGATTCTGTTGTATGCAGGTAGTCGAAACAAATACAAAATGTGACGCATCACTTAACGTCTTCTAGACAATGTGGAGAAACAGTAGGTAAGGTAAGCAATGTTAGAATGTATAGTCAGTTGCCTATAATTTCAATCAAGGGCTGTTATCCTAGAACTGTACATGGCAAAAGTAAGGCTTCGTTTAGAATAGTCTACTGTTTTGGTCAACAAGTTATAGAAAAGAGATTGCTCTCTGGAATCCGTCCAGGGAAGAGCAACCACATACATTCTAGGGCATATAGAGAACAGCCTACACTGCCAGCCCGAAAGAACTGAGCCTTTTCAATCTTGGATAAAGTAGACTGCAAGGGGCACTGATGCATATATTCCAAATCATCGGGTGCATCCTGAAGGACTTATTCAGAATAAACAGTGAAGCACAAACCAGGGGCGTGCAGGTAGAAGCTACACGGTAGTGCATTTAAAATGCTTCACACAAAGGGTTGTGGGAGTATGGAACAGGATGCCCAGCCATATTGGTGAAGCGGATACCCTGACTTCTTTCAAGCAATGGCTGGATGAGATCCTTGGTTTGTAACCGTTCTTGTGTTCTACAAGGCGGGCTGCTCTTCCGTCACATGGACTGAGAGGTTCTCAAAGTCTTGCGTTGGCGTTGTGCTGCAAGGACTGCTCTAGTGTCTTATTCTGTACTACATTTTGTGAGTGTCCCTTCTCAGACAAAGGTGTGATGGGTGGTTTGTGAAAATAGCTTAAAATAATTTGCCTGCAGTTTGTTTTCTGTGCATAATCCCTTGTGATTTGTGTTTTCACATTCTGCAACCCTGTCAATACTGTTGGAAGTAGGAACCTATTATTCGTCTGTAATTTATTTTGATACTGTAGATCAAAAGAATGGAGAAACTGCAAATAAGCTTAGTACAAATCTGCCACTGATGATCTTGACAATTTTGAATCAACAAAAGTGATTAAAACTACATTTTTGGTGGGAATCTAAAAAAAATGTATTAAAACTGTAACAAAGAAATGCATTTAAGAATTAGTTTTAAAACCAAATCAAATACATTGTCTCTATTTACTTCACCTTTTTTTGGAACTTATGGAAACTCTGGGGAAAAATGCAGGAACATCATCGCTTTGTTCAAAACTGAACAAAATGCAAAAGCATAACAGAAAGCCTTTGAAGAACATAACCAAGTGTGAACGGTACTGGGTTTGTGGTGTTCTGACAAGGACGTCGATCTGATATCTTCGAGTATTCATTCATTCATTCAGGGTCATCAACTATCCCCAATGCTACACTGTTGGAACCTGGTCATTATTAGACATGTATGCTTATAGATTTGTTCCAGAAATGTGTAAGTAATGGTAGTAACTCATGAAAGTGCACAGTTCATGACAAAGATGTGTCCTTTGTTGCTATTAAATAATGTTAATGCTGGAGGCCCAGTCAGAGCTCAAGAGTAACATGGCATAAAGATTAGTTAAATGGGCTTTTGGGATCATTAACTGTCCAGGTGCTGCTTTAGTCAAGTCTTATTACTGGCTGCAAAGCACAGTCTCTCATGTGAATTAGAAAGCGATAAATGTTTAGATTTTCACGGAAATATTAATATTTCAATATTATAATAATTATACAATATATTAATATCTCAATATTAGTGGTTCTTGGGAATGGCTTCTTAATGGAAGCCTTATTTTGGCCTAGGAAGCAGAAAATGGGGGAGACGATTAAAAAAAAAAACGTTGTCGGCCATAAAGTCTTCAGTACACTTTCTCTGGTTTAGAGTCTTTGTCTAGATCTTCTGCTTTTATTGGTTTTCCTGCACCATATTCCTCATTTGTTGATCCTTTGAATCTTGCATTGCTGTGTTTTCGCGCAGCGCTGTAATATTGGCACGGTCCAAGTCTTTATCTAGCTCGGGAGTGTAGTTATGGTGTCAGCGAATGCGAAAACCTGCACAAAGCAGCACTTGCGGAGTACATTTTTTTTAACCCCTTGGTATTTTCTGTGTGTTAGTAGAATTCTCCAGGAATCCACTTTGCTGCTCATTGTCCAAGCTGTTCTTTGGCTCTTAACTTTTATTGGCCTCTTGAAATGTGGCTCAGCCTGTCTATCTCCAGTGCTTTTCCCACTAATGAACTGCACATTTCACTGGTGCGCTTGGCTGGGCCTGCTCCTTGGCTGTCCATTAATGGGAATTTCCTCTTTTCCTTCAGCACAGCCACGGTTGCGAGTCCCATCCTGGTCAAGCTATGTCAGTCGGAGACATTTTAGATGCATAGCTGTTGCCCTAATAAATGACTGTAGGCCAAACGTTTTTTAGAATGAATGCTATTGTCATGATGATGACCTCCCCATCTCCTGCAATTACGGAACACTTTTTATGATGATGCAGTGTCAGTGGTGTCATTATTTTTGCCTCTGTAGCTACGCGACTTAAAGCCTCTAAGGTCAGCAGTTGATCAGGTTGTGTGGGAAATTTGTTGGCTTAATTAAAAGCCTGTGGCAAATAGAGGCCATGGCTCTGAAGCCCAGGCCTCAAGATGCAGTGGTCACATTGTCAGTGGAGTTTATGTGAAGATTGTATACTACAATTTAAAGGCAGGGAATTAAGTGTATTACGTTTCCAGCATTTATGTTATATAGCATTGCGTTATATAATATTAGGTCCATCGCATCTCCCTGAGGTGTGTTGTTTAAGCGTTTCGCAATAACTTCGAAGTGGTCTTGCTGAAATAAAGGTCGTCTGTTTTTTTTTTTTATCTTTCAGCTCACGGAAGATGAAATAGCCACAATTCTCAAATCCACCTTGAAGGGTCTGGAGTACCTTCACTTTATGAGGAAAATCCACAGAGACATTAAAGCTGGAAATATCCTTCTCAATACAGAAGGCCATGCGAAACTGGCGGATTTCGGTGTGGCCGGGCAGCTGACAGTGAGTGATCATCTGTGTGCTTTTCATTATCGATCCTGCAGCGGAATAATGCCAGGGATGCACGAGCCGGAAGGAAAGAGTCTTGCATAATGTTATAAAGTCCTCATCTGTGGAAGTGTTGGAATAGTTCTTCAACAGCTGATGAGTAATGATAGTTTTTGTGTAAATTTGGATAGTTGCTACAGAGTAGTTCAAGGTTTTATGCAACAGTGAGGTAATAAGCCATTGTTCATTAGCCAAGTGCGAAAGATGTGTTCGTTGATAGATCAGAAAAGGTCTGTCAGTTTGAACCAAGGGAACACACATATTAAATGAGCATATTAAACATATTAAGTTGTCACATATTAGCAACTTTCACATATATTGTGAGGCACTGGCCTCTTCAAAGTGGGGAATGGTTTCAATGCACACTACTCCTTTCTGGAAGAAAGGTTTAAGGCCGACGTGGTGGACAGAATTCTTCAACAGCGGTGACCTAGAGTGTCTCTTTGGGTGCTGAGCCTTGGTCTCAAAGGAGATGTTCTTACATCTTTTATGGTGGTACAAGGGCATTATCATTTTTGGCTTTAACTATAAGACACATAGCCTTTAGGTCAGCAGTTGGGTAGGTTACACGGAAAACCGTTTTTTTTGTTTATGGAATAAGGAAATATTCTTGTCTGTGTTTCTTTAAATAAAGGGAAGGCTGGGCGATATACAGTAGGAAGTGCTGTTGGATGGATTAGCCGATTTTAAATGCAGAAGTGCGGTGTTACCAGTGACCCCCGGGGTTCTCTGGGATTGTGATGAGCGAGTCGGCTGGGCGAAGGACGCGAGTGGCGCCTCGCTCCTCTCGCGCTCTCCCGCTTCCGTGCCGAACTGGGTCTCCTTTTCCGAAGGACACGATGGCCAAGCGCAACACGGTGATCGGCACCCCATTCTGGATGGCGCCAGAGGTGATTCAGGAAATCGGCTACAACTGCGTGGCGGATATTTGGTCGCTGGGCATCACGTCCATCGAAATGGCTGAGGGGAAGCCTCCGTACGCAGACATCCATCCCATGAGGGTGAGTGACGCCGCCTGGCGCATTTTCAGCACCACTGCCTCCTCTCATGGCTGAGAGCAGGTATTGTCCCGGTTCCTCTCCCTCATTAAAGAAGCCCTTAAAGAGCGATGGTGAAAATCAGTAAGGTGGAGATTTAAGTTCTATTTAATATTAATATTTTTAAAGGTGCCCTAATGTCTAATTTTAATTATTTTTTTGTAGTTCTGTTATTCCTGCTTCCTGTAACCAGTCTTCTGACTCGTGTAACTTACAGGAGATCACAAGAAATTTGCCATCGCCATCTTCACGACAGATTTACAATAACTCTTACTGTTGACAGCTTGTCAGTGTAGCTCTCAATATCCTCGAAATTTGAAATGTATTTGCTGGGCAGCTGTGCGTTGCAGTGTTCAGAGTTCTGGCGTCATCTCTGGAGGTCTTTGGGTTCAAATCCCAAGTGAGGCACTGCTGTTGTAACCTTGAGCAAAGTACTTCATCTGAACTGTTCCAGTAAAATACCCAGCTGCAGAAATGTAAGTTGCTTTGGTTAAAAGCGTCAGATAAATATATTCCTATTGGTACAACTGCAAAAAAAGAACCTTTTTCTTGGCAAAAGACTCAAATACCTGTGGCTTATTTCGCAATGTCTCTTTTAATGTGGTCATTTTTGTTTCACAACATTAAAATATTAAGGTACTTCCCAGAAAAGTTTCTTTCCTGTTTTTTGTTGTTGTTGTTCTATCCAAATGTATTATTTCTTGCTTTATCGGATTTGAATTCTGAATATCTGTGCCCCACAGTCATCAAAAAAAAACCTCCGGGTTGAACCTGTTTCTTTCCTTATCCACTATCAACCTTATAAAATGAAAGAGAAAATGTACAAAGGCACGGGAATTGTGCCGGTGTCTCAAGTGAATCAGATGTGTATGCATGCAGCCTGAGTGGCCGGCCTCAGGCAAGGGCTGAAGCACAGCGTCCCGTGTGGAAGAGTGATGTCATGTCCACATCGGGGAAGGTTTGCTCAGGCAGAGGGGGGGGGGATCTGTAAGTAGTGTGCGTAAACCATCACCTCCTATGGCAGTTCCTGAGGCCTCTCGGTAATGACTGTGTTGAAACCTGGGATTCCAGTGGAAGGTTGGGATCGGGGTGGGTCCCCATCAGGTTGGCTGGCCTCTTCCCGCCAGTTCAAGCTGGGGGAGGGGTACTCTAGCGGGCAGTGGTGAAGACTGCCGTCAGGAAAGTGCTGGCTATGCAGAGTGCTTGAGCTCCTGGCTGGGTCGTGACCCGGTACCGATCTTAATCTTACTGTACAAGGGCAGCATTATGAAAGATGGGGAAAACGGCGCCTTCTCTAATTCTTGTCTGATAAACTCCTCCAAATTACCAGGACAAAACGTCCTCCGCCCTAGGAACACATTTAGAAAACCGTATTGGTTTTACATTTAAATTGATTGGGGAAAAACTGGGAAGGAGATGACAGTCTCGCCTCCTTGTTTTCCTCGTGACGCTCTGTAGCTGTGGTTTTCCCTCGAGCGTGCCTTATTCAGCCATTGCCTTCTGACATTCTTCTGTGGTACTCGATCGGCCTTCGTTGTCGTTTCAGTGAGCACCTTCCACTGCTAGGGACGGTCCTGTAAAAGTGGAAGCGAGCTTTTTGTTTTTCCTGGACTTGCCCTGGTTGTTGTGGTATTTATCCAGTGGCGAGTTCTGTTATTCAGGAAAACACACAGTGGAGTACTCTGCGGGCCAGTTTTGCTGTAGGCCTGTTGGCTTGACCACAAAGGCTGCAGATTGCCAGTAGGTTGTTTCCTCCTCAGCTAGACTTTCATTTAAATAGACGTATTATATGACTTTCCTTACCATGGTTTTAGTGGAGAGGAAATAGCAGATTCAAATGAAAACAGGATTAGCTTCCCCTGCGCGCCACACTGCCAGCTGCTTTTAAAAGGCCATTTATCTGGGGAACTGAAAGCATACATCTAAAAAAAAAAAACATGTTTTAAAATACAACTGTAAACATAGAAAAATGATCAGTAACATGGAGTAATGGAATATTTTAAGATGGTAGATCTATTTAACCTGGAGTTGGCAGGTGTTTTCAGGCTTCCTTCCATCTCGTGTAAGAAATACTTTGTTTTGCATGCTAATCATTTTACACAAGATGCAAAATCAACCTTGATTTTTACAGTTGTTTGTACCTACAGTGCCTGTAAAAAGTATTCACCCCCCTTGAACCTTTTCACATTTTATTGTTACAGCATGGAACCATGATGTGTTTAACTGAGAATTTTTGCCACTCATCAACACAAAATACTCTATAATGTCAAAGTGGGGATAAAATCCAGATATTTTACTAAATTAATACTTTTTGTAGGCACTGTACAGTTCGTAAATGTTTTTGCAGATACATTTACCATACTTCTTTTCTCTCCGAGCCTCTTGTAACAGAGTGTACGTACTGACGCTTTAACTTCTTTCACCCATTGTAGGTTAATTTCTTAAATATCAAAATAAGGAAAATAATTGTTCAGTGCTGCATGGAAATCCTGATGGCCTTAATTTCTGCCGGGCACATTTCCCTGTGTCACTGATCTGCCTGCATGCACGGGTCACATGGGAGCACACAAGCAAACTTCAACTATCCCCTCGTTTATTGATCACCCATCCCAAACTGGAAGCACGACGCGCTGAGACCTGGCTGACCAATAGCGGTCCTACCGTTGGCGGCGCTGAGCCAACAGTCGGCCAATGTCAAATGGTCGTATAGATTGCAAGGCACAGCTTGCGCCGGAAGAGGGCACTGGATTGGTTTACCAGCAGACTGCACTGAGATATCCAGGACGGCCGACTCATGAGGCCCTACATCTTTGCAGAAACTAATAGCATTAATGTTCCACAAGCCCTTTGTCTGGAGGGGAGGGGCAGGGACTTCTCCATCGGGCCCTGGACCCCCAGAGGTTTCTTTTCTCCCAGCAAGGTTTTTTTTTTCTCCCCACTGTGCACAGGTTGGTCATCTGTGATTATGTTGTCATCCCCTGTTAGAAATCTGCAGAGCACCTTGCCAGGGAGTTGCAAAGGGCGCTGCACCATGTCACATGAATGAGGCCCGGACACACGGGGAGTCCTGAAGCGACGTCGTGCCTCATGCTTTGGTTTTGTCACGTTGACGACTGTTACCTTTCGGAAAGTCCTGCATTGTTACTTTACACGGCAACCAATCGAGCGCCTCTTGGACAAACCTGAATGTGCTGCTGCAGAATCTTTGGCCCAGAAACAGGTCAATTTCTTAGCCAGAGGTGTAAAGGTGTACCTGAAAACTGTACTTTCAGGACCTTTTTCAAGGGCAATGCACCATATGTTTTTGCTTATAGGCAGACATTAGTAATATTAGTGATTATATCATTCTAAATCATTCAGCTGCTGGGCAGTGTCTGTGTATTGTGAATGATTCATTTTCTCTACCCTAAAAAAACGTGTTGCGCTTTAATATGGTTGAGTTGACTGTGTGCACATGTTGAAATATTTGAAATGTTTCTTATAAACTTAAAAGTATACGTGCATTTTTAGTTTCAAAGACGGCTTTAGAATTTTGTGGTGAAAGGCGAGTGGATCTCAGGCCGAGGTTTTGTTCTCTAAGGTCCGATGTATCACCTCTTGTAAAGGGTTACAGATTACCACACAAACATTTTCAAGCCTGCAGCCATGTTCGGAAACTAAATATAGATGATTTGTTGCTCTTTCTGAACATAGTTCAACTGCCAAAATACACAGGCTCTGCTTTCTTAACCTTGAGCAGTGATGTGTGTGCTCAGTGTGTAAGTAAGGCTAAGGGGAATGTTCAGCAGATTTCCTGCTACTTGGTTACTAACACATGCCACCAGCTTGTGGTGCACGTAGTTGTTTAGGAATTAGAGCTAGTGCGTCAGAGCTGTTCTTGAGAGCCTTGTTTCTTCCCGTCTGTGCAGATTGTGCTCTGGGTCTTGTTAAGATGCGGAGCTCAACTTTGTTTCACGTGGCTGCTTCGCATACAGCACTTTGCTACGGTTTCCTTGCCCTGTGCGGTTTTTTGTTGTTGTATGGATTCTCTTTGCAGGGACTTCACCTGTCTTGCCCTGACCTTGAGAGAGGTTCAAATCGAGTGGAGGCCATTTGGTCCATTTGCAGTTGCTTTTAGAAAAGTGACCCGAGGCATCTCGTCCAGCAACACGGCCGGATAGCTTTGTTCTGTAGTCCCACAGCCTTTCGGTGAAGAAGGGCCTCCCGTTGTTTATTTGAAGTGCACTTCCCCATAGTTTCCGCTTGCGTCCTCCGGTTTGTGTTTCACCGTTGATTCTGAGCGCGGATTTGGTTGTCTTTTGTCATTGCCTTCGAAGATTTTAAGTAGTGCCATCTCGTATTGTGTAGAGCTATGTAGTAGATACCTGCAGCACCATATACAGTACTAGTTATCAGATCAGAATTAATAACTCATCATGACAAATGCCAAAGTGCTGGTTTAATTTGCCCTATTGGAATTTTTCAGGCTTTTTGTGAGAGACTGAATAGTTGGCAAGAAACCATAGGGATATCCAGAACCCATTTTGGTGTTCAGTGGCTATTTGATATCTGCTGTAAATCACTCAGGTGAAGCATCTTAAATATCTTCCTACTTCATGGACCGATTGGTCTAAAGTGTCTTCTTAGTGTTGGTGCCTTGCTTGTTTTACTTGCAGTGGTTTACTGAGTTGGTTTTACAGTCTTTTACAGTTTCTTCCAGATTTCTTAGGTGTGCGTGGGGTTCGCTCTTGGGAATTCGAGTAGCGCATGTAAAGGCAACAAGATATTTTGAGTTTAAAGGCATCCACTGGGGGCTCATTGGGATAAGATTGACCTTATACTGCTGAATGAGGTTTCAATTAACTTATGAGAAGCTCATCTCATCTGAGTGGCATACCAGCTGGAAAGGAAATGCAAAGCACACCACACTTGATGGTTGGTTTTCTTTTCTTTGATTAATCACTCTCAAAGTAAGCAGTTAGACT